TTTGCATTTCCAGCATAACCCACAATCTTTAGCTGCAGTGTAAAAATAATATGCTGATTTTATCACTGGATAACATACCGTTAAAGGGACTCTGTAGGCACTGTAATTGCTTCATCCCATTTAAGTAGTTATAGTGTCTGGAGGATTCTGGCACTGTCCTTCCGTTCAGCGTTAAACCGTTTTTAAGAAGAGTCGCCAGCAGTCCATTGTACTGCTTGGAATAATGAGGAAGTATTAGCCTGAGCAGCAATCGGCGGCTTTGATTGGTTGCTTTGATTAAGCTTTTAGCCTAACACAGTGACCAATGCGCGTATGAATTGGTATGACTAGAAGGAAATGTGTATCTCTGCCTTAGCCATGCCTCCAGCAGTGATGGGGCTATAGGAAGCCAGGGACTCTCATTCAGTGTAAAACTGCTTGAAAATGGTATAACACTGAATGGAGGGACAGTGCCAGGGGTGTCCAAGCTTCTAACCAGTTCAATTAGATGAAATACTTATAGTACCTACAGTGTCTCTTTAACATTGATATTTTCTCTTGTTACAGATAGCTGGGTGGTGAGGGTTTTAGTATTGGTGTCCCTAAATACGGGCTAAAGGATTTAAATCAGAGTCCGAATGGTATACACCGTCTCGGTTACTAATAATAAAATAATATGTGGTGACACAGGTCATAATACACTGCTGTCATTATCTAATTACATTCTGATGCCCAGTTTTACATATTATTGTTTATTTTTGTGATAACCCCAAAATACATCACGATAAAATGTAAAAAAATAAAATAACCCTTCATGCCTTCAAGGACAATTCAACATAGAACTCTTCTGGCTTGCAAGGACAACTCAACATTGAACCGTTCCAGCCCACAAGGACAACTCAACATTGAACCCTTCCAATCCACAAGGACAACTCAACATAGAACCCTTCCGGTCCACAAGGACAACTCAGCATAAAGTCCACAATGGTATTTCAGCATAGAACCATTTTGGTCTATAAGGACAACTCAACATAGAACCCTTCTGGCCTACAAGGATATCAGCCTAGAAACCTCATGATTACATGTGTGGTTTGATGGGTGGGTAATCTGCACTTTGTAACCACTGTTTGACCTTTTTTGGGGACTTATGCTAAAGAAGTTATGTACTTCTGACTGAAGACTGCAGCTCCTGTTGTTTATATTATTGTGGATGAGATATCTCTGAGACCAGCATTTAAAATTCATGTAACAGCCTAGAACCCTTCCGGCCCTCAAGAGTGTCTCAAAGTATATTCATTCCTTCCCACAAAGACCTCTCAACAAATGTCCTTCCAGCCAACTGTTTGTATGTGAAGGAATTAATGAGGTGTGCAGGAAAAGTTGGTATTTTGCCATGACACCCCTCTGTATTTAGTGATGTCGCTGTTGTAATTTACAACTATTACAACCTTTCAGTCCAGGTTGATACAAAGTTCGTGGCTTCATTCCCCGACAGAGTGCAACGCTATTTGACTTCTTGCACCCTGGCATGAGATTTCACATGTAAATATTAAATAGCCCACACAGGTACTATTCGAAGGAATGGACATTCCTTTGCGGGTATAAAATGGCAACTCAAATTCCTTTCATATCTGAAATTAGTCACCGGCTCCAAAGTATCTTGTTTGAAGCTACACACACACAGCTTGGAGATGTCAATTCTTAAGGTTTTAAATGACGAGACATTGTAATGATAAGGATATTGTTAAGGATTCTGCAACATTCTGTCTACGGCCAACGGACAGGATTTTTCTTTGTTGGTTCACTGTATAAATTCACCCTTCACCTTATTTACCAAAGGTTGCAACCAGCCTATTTCTTTTGGAACTCTTTCAATTACACGTTTTCAAAAAATGTTGCTGCAGTTAAACGTTTTTTTTTTTTCTTTCTTCAATTAGACTTCCTCGTAGAGCTGTTAGAATGTTCCTTGGTGATCTATGTTTGTAAAGTTTAACGGCAGTCAATTTATAAAAATACAATATAAGTATACACACATTGCTGTAGCCGTATCTTTCTACTTTCCGCTCTAATGTATAATGTAACGAGATAATGAAAGAAAAATAAATAATGTATGTTTTAATCATTTTGTCATTAATAATGTTATCAAATGATTTCAACCCAAAAGAATACATTTCATTTGTCTATTTTCAAGTATCATGAATGCAGAGGGTATTATTACCCAACTCAATGATAGACAGATTTTTAAGTTTAGAAGGTAGATAGAAAGTGGAGTTAAGCAACCTGGGATCGTAATATGTGAGCTGGAACCTTAAAAATGACTAGATACACAACCAAGGTTATTCACTAAGGTGAGGATTTTTTAGGAAGTGAATTTCAATTGTAAGGTCAAAATTGGTGAAATGAAAAAATGAACCTATTTTGTTTCAGGTTTGGCTACTTTAGCCTTAAATTTGAAATTCACTTTGATTTCCCAGCAATTCTCACTTTAGTGCATAGCCCTAAGCAATTGGATTATTTTTTTAAAAGGCTCAGGGAGTCTTCAGGATTCCAAACCAGCTTTCAATATCTGGGCTCTAATTCCCTGGCTAAAGAGCCGACAGTGGCTATCTCTAGCTCCAATAGGATGCAAGAGGTCACAGCCTCCATGTCCACTGGACAATGATCACACCTGCTCAGGGCGAACCATTGAAGGGGACCCACCACAGTCCTGTTTCTTTCAAACCGAGGAAAAAGGAACTGGAGGATAAAAGATCTGGGAGAAAAAAAAAGTAAGAGACAAAGGAGTGGAGAACATGGGGTGCAAATGTTCACCGATTGGGTCACCCTTTGAGTGTAGAGAGGGATCTACCAGTGCCTCAGGTTGGTCCTGTGAATGGGTCTGCCAGCTGTTTCTTTCATTCCTAAAAATGACAATGTGCAATACCATAGCTTGCCATAACCCAGTAACCACAGCCCTCGATAGACTAAAACCACATAAGGGAAGAACTCAAATAGATCAAAAGATGGGGAAGAAAGGATGGGGAAGAGTGGCCAACCATGAGAATTAAGGCTTTCAACTTGTCTAGTTCTCCCCAAACAGTTCAACGTAGTTTTTCAACCACAGCTCACCCTTTAGTGAAAAACTCAATAAAGGGTTAAAGTGTTTCTAGCACCATCAACTAATTAAAGGGATGCCACAATATTGTGAAGATTTTGAATGCCACACATTATGTTTAGATAGAAAATTGTGTAGATTCTAAAATGCAAAATGATTGGCTTTATTTCACATCAGATGGGATCTTATCACACACCAATTGCACAATCTAGCCTTAGATTAGTAAAGTAGTGTCTGCAGACAGCCTTCTTTCAGAATATGGCATCTCAATGCTCAATACTAGTATGTGCTGTGGACTGCAACGTCAATGATACTAAATCTCCCGCAAGTTTAATCCTTGTGTGATAGACTTGCGTATGGCAAAAAAAACATTTGGCTTGTCCAAATCAATTTGTTGGGGAAAAAAACAATATTTTGGTTTGGATGAACTGAGTCCCATCTATGTGGTGATTCAGTTCGAATTTGGAAAAACTTATTCAGATGAACCAAAATGGTGCAAAGATATGTCTTGCCCCAAAAATAGTCAACTTATTCTGGCACCCACAAACGGAACTCCAAATCACAAAACAAACTAAATGGCTTGTCCATTGCCTGTTTTGTGGTACGTTCAGTTAGGGTTTTGGAGTTGTGGAATTCGGACGAATCGCTATTTGTAGGAAGCCAAATGCTTAGGTCTACTGAGTGTGCATCTCTACAAACTAGGCAAAAGCACAAAATATCATGGTGGGCCCAGGCTCAATAATATTAATAACAAAGTATTTAACCAGAAAAGGTACATTCAAATTGCTCTGGTTTCCAAGTACGGCCTGGGGATCTTACTTTTGCCCAACATCAGGGGATGTTACTATTACCCAATTTACTGCTACTCATTGATATTAAAGTATAGTAGTAATATTCACTGGTGGTGAGAAACCTAATCAAGGTGCTTACAAGACCTCCAGGCTCTTTGTATTGAAGATCATGGTAGACTTACCTGGCTCAAACATTTCCTAGATTATGCCAAATAAAAAGAACCAACTACAGTCAGTTCTGAACTCTCTCTTTTCCAGCTAACCTTCTCCAAATAGGACTATTTCTCTATCTCATTGAATGAAAATAAAAATGCTTTGTTTATATGAATGAAATCTATGGAGATACCCTTCCTTGACATTATAAACCCCTCATTAACATAGTCTTTAATTTAAATACTGTGGATGTCTCAGTGGTCTGAAATATTTCCTGGTTAAGCCAGAAACGGGGGAGGCCAATCACATCCCTGGAAAACAGATCCGTAAATCAATGTATAAGAGTATTTATAGGAGTTTGTATCGCAGGAGTCTGCCTTAAGTTTCTTGGGCCTTAAAAAAGCTATTCAAGGTAAACTACCCATTAAAACAATTGGGGATTTGATGAATTACCAATGGTTAGGAAGATGCTGTAAAGACTGTAATGGCATATAAGTAATGGGGAAAGGACCAAAAATAAACTGAATTGAACTGAAATTCCAATTAAAGCCTTAAGAAAATCCAGAAACCAGTTAAACCATAATATTATACTTTCATTCAGGTGTGAGAATAGAAACTTAATGTCACATAATCTGCATGTAAATCATTTTATAAGAGAAGTTAAAATTGAGTATTTTACCATTATTTGATGGCATTTTTCTCTGCTGTTAACATTTTTAGGACACTTAGATATACTAAAAACTTGATAAGCTCCCCATCTGTAGAGAGGACCTTCACATATTTTAATGGTAGATCCCATAAAAGCTTCAATGTAGTGATTGAAATACATTATCCTCTCTCTGTGTATTGCTCTCTATCTACCCCCCCCCCTCCTTAAAATGTATATATTTATTAAAATAATGGTGTTTATTACTCTTCACAGCCTGCAAGTGAATTGTAAGATTGCCTACTATTTCATTTTTGCAATTGATGCTTTATTTATCCAAAAAGTAAAATGTTTCCCTAAAACAACAAATAAATACATAGAAATAGCTGGAAAATTAAATAATGTTAAACAAGTAAATTTCTAAAAAAAACAAACAAAAAAAAATTTGTATTCCACATGAAGATTTCAGTGTTAAATATCGAGCAAGCTGTGCATAGCACATTTTATTTCTATAAAACTATTAAAGTTGTTACAAAGTATTGAAAAATACATTTTAGTACATGTACATGAGTCATTTTTCAGTTTATTAAAGCAAAATCACCCTCATTCTGTACAAACAGTCTTCAGCCTCTTAATGTCCTAATGTATGAGTGCTTCATTTTTTCTTTATTTAAAAAATATTAATATTACTTTCTAGTGAACTCTCTCAGATTAGAAATCACAAGATTTCTAACGTCGGGAAAAGAAAAATTGGTGTAACAGTCCTGGAGTTATATGTATGTGACCAGATGCATTTTATTGTATTTATTTTATTTCTATTTTATTTATTTATTTTTTATTTTTTTTATTATTTCTCTTTTTTGTTTTATTTTTTATTCTCTCCCCCTCCCCCCCCATGGAAATATTAACCATAATAGTTATAATAATAATAATAATAATAAAAACAAGCGATAACGTTACATTGTGAACTATTTAAATTAAAATAATATATTCTCGTATTGTACACTATTTTCAAAAACAAACCAAAAAAAAATTAAAACAAAAAAAAACAAAACAAAAAAACCCGAAATGTAATTCAGTAAGTATGATCTCTGCAAAAATCTAATTTACAAGTCTGTATATAAAAATATAATTTATTGACCTCCTACTGAGAGCAGTTTATAATTAATTATTCACCATTCGCACTGATAGCCAGGACTTGCTATAGGACCGAGAAAGGCATCTGTCTGGGAAGGTCGGACTTTTACTGGACTTTTAGGGGACTTTTAAAGCAACAGAGACCCGAAGGGCAAGGTATTTACTAAGTAGCGATTTGTGTGAACAGGAGAACTGAATTGGAACATTTAGGCCAAATTATAGCTGGAAAAAAAATCGCAGTCTCTGTTTTCTTGTTTGTTTGGTGTTTTTTAGAACGTACTTAATTTAGCATAAACATTAAATATATAAGTATTTTGCTAACTCATCACAGCTTGCTGTTTAGTTAATACACCCCTTTTTGTGTTTGTGTGTGTAAGCATGTATATCTGCTTTTGTTGTGTGTTTGTCTTTATGTTGGCATAGCTTTGTCTGCTTGTGTGTCTGTTCGTTTTCTCCATGTGTGGTGTATTCCTGTCAGTGTTCTTGCAGCGTATGACTACCAGTCTGTTAGTGTTCCTGTAGTGCATGTGTGATATATTCCTGTCTGTTAGTGTTCCTGTAGTGCATGTGTGATATATTCCTGTCTGTTAGTGTTCCTGTAGTGCATGTGTGATATTTTCCTGTCTGTTAGTGTTCATGTTGTGTATACGTGATATATTTCTCTCTGTTAGTACATGACTGTTTTGCGTTTGCATATGATATATCCTGTATGTCTGATTATGTATTCCAATGTGTATGCTTCTATACTAGTCTATGTTTGTAGCTGTGTGTCTTTCAATATATGTTTGTATTTATTTGTGTATGTTTGAGTGATTAGCTCTGTCTGAGCCTGTGTGTGTGTATTTGTATGTCTTTATTATCTATGTATTTCTTTATATGTAGCTAAGTCTTTTTATGTCTATGTTTATTTCTGTGTGTCTGTGTATGTGTTTATTGATTGTGTCTGTGAATACTGTATGTTTAATTCTGCATGTCTATGCATGGTTCAGTGAATTTGTCCATCTCTGTAAGTATATGCATGTATCTAACTATCTCTGGATGTCTAAATGTGTGCCTGTGTCTAAATACGTATGATTGTATGTGTGTTTGTATATGTGTACCTCAGTACTTGTGTGTCTATCTCTATGTATGTGTGTGCCTGTTTTTGTATGTGCCTGTGTACATGTACATCGGTGTTTGTTATTGTGTCTGTGTTTTGTCTGTTAGTGGAAAAGCTTAGGATATCACGGGACTTGTAGAAAAATATACTCTTTTGTGTTAGCCTGGGTCCACAGATGCTCGTTACGTGAGGCCATAAAACACTTGCCAGACAATAATTTAGAAAAACAAAAACAATGTAAGGCTTCTTTTTTTTTTTTTTTTTTTTAGAATGTCCCGTTGAAAACAAACAAAAATGAACAAAAAACAAATAAATATTCATTAGAAGATCAAAAACAATATAAAATAAGCAAATAAAATAAACTAATAAAAACAAGTGGAAAGCGTGAGGAACTCTTTCCTTAGTGTCTAGTTTGGACTGTCCTACATTAAAAAAATAATGTCCTCGTTGTAAAGAATAAGGGGATCTCTTCAACTGGACTGTTTTGCCATTCCCAGTGGATGGATAGAGTCTTTGTCCAAAAGCAAAGTCCCTAATTTGTAAAGGATTTGTGAATACCAATGAATGCCTTCTTCTTGAATGTGTACAGGAGAGGTTGGGGTGGAGTTTATGGGGTAAATGAAGGAATAAAGGTCTAAGCCAAACCTCAATGGAGCAAATGCCATGTGTGCCCAGCTATGTTCCTCAATGACAGCATAGCAGGAGGCTAGAACCCCATCTACCACCAATGTTCCTTCATCAGTCATGGGGGCATAAGCTCCAAAGTCTTCTTCAAGGTGGACATTGCTCACCTCCACCTCCTCCAAACTCCCAATCCCTTGCTTTTGATTGGCCACATACACAAGGTCCCCAGGTTGAACATCACTGGCAAACACCGACTTCATGGACCTGTTGCCATTGCCTTGAGTCTGGGCCACAAAGAGGAGGTGAGCAGCAGTCAATCTGATGCTTGCCCGAGGTTGGGAGGTCTCAATGACATAGAAGACCTTCTTGACAGACTCCTGCCGGTCTATGAACATCAAGAAGTTACTATAGACCAGCCTCCCTCTGCCATCTGCTGTCAACACCCGATCTCCTGGCTCGAGGTCTTCCACCGACTTGGTGCCACCGCCCTCCAGGGAGACTGTGGCCAGGGCTGGGAAGCAGCCACCAGATTTGGCAGCCACTGAGTTCTCTGGAAGAGAAAAGACACAGAATATCCACTTCATTAGATATCACTGTTACATGTAGCAAGTAAAGTATTCAGAATCTACGTGGAACCGTCAATGTATACACTGCTACCCAATATATATTCACATCTTACATTGATCTAAGTGTCTGAGCAATCCTTAAAAAATAAAAAGTACAGATTCCAGAACTCTGTAGAATCTGGAATTCATTTTAGTCTTCCTTCTACCAATCCCCATAAACTGAGAAACTAAGGAAATACGTTTCTAAATCACTGTATTTCGCACTTTTTATATATTAATAGAGAAGGGATTTCATGTTTGCTGCCTGATGTATTTTTGAGATTGAAAATGAATACTTATATGATAACGCTTTCACACACAACATTATCACTTTTGTCACTTTTTGTTACTGTTTAAACTTTGACGTTTGTTTATTAAATAGAAAAAATATATAGCGTTAATAAACTACTTTTAGAAAATTAATAAACTACTTTTAGAAAGTAGAAACATCTCGCAGAATTAAAATTAAATTAAATAAACAAAAAAAGGGTTTTTTTAGACTAAATTTTGAAAATCGTTCGTGAAATTATTACAGCTTGCTGTTGAGAGAATAACAACCAGTTTTAGTGTTAGACCGTGATAATAGCTTAGAACGTTTGAAAAACAAACTTTGCATTTCATTCATAACTTATTCAAAAGCAGCAGGCCCAGTTTTAATTGGATCATTTGGACACAACACTTTTATATAAATATATAGGTTTTTTTAATGTCGAATTCTATTCTTTAACCGATTTTCCCAATAAGATTTAATTTAATTTATTTAGCAGAAAGTGTTAGTGTTCTGCATAATGTCAGCCAACTACTGTAACTCAGTAGGACAATTACTTTCCAATTCTGTTGTTTATTAATATTTGTAATTCGTTTGGCAAGTCCACACATTCCCTCTTTGCTGAATACGTCTTTAAATCCATTGCCAGCTGAGCTAAGAAGCCAGCCAGAACTAATTCTCCCTCCCCAACTGACACTAAGGTTTTACAACTATTTCACAAATAAACAACAGATCTGCTACTTTATTCTGAAACTACTGTATAGCTTTCTCAGGAAGAACAAGGGAGGTGAAAATGACTCTTTATCGACCTGCTAACGAGTTTATCACATGTGGTGACCAAATTAAACAAACGTCATAGAGTCTTTGGGGGAATGACAATGGTCTCAAACAGAGAATAGTGTGCAGTAACCCAGCTACTGGGTAATCCCGGAGAGCTGGCCTCCTGGGACACCTCCTCCTGTTTGCTGATTTGGGGTAATATGAATGAGTCTCATCTCATGTCAGTTCCTCTACAAATACAGCAAGGAATTGGTAGAGGTGTGACTAGCCCAAACACTGAGTGCAGCCTCTTTGGGCTTCCTAATTAAAATCCAATAAAGGGCCTGTTTTGTCATTCTGATTTCAAAATAGAGACACTCTTGAAAGGGATGATACATCCATTTTTCCCATATCCCCTCTATTTACTCAGGTGTAGGTCCTCTATGTGCCAATTCACACACAAACACTCCCAATCCCAAAAAGCACTATTTACTCAAGCTGAGACCCCTTCTCAGGATGTGTATTTGAATTTTAAACGCTGGAGTTGGCAGCAAACAATCTCAGAATTCTATTAAAGAAGAGTTCGGATTGTCACTCTGCACCCCTTGTCTCTGTCCTGGGGACAATAATTCAGATCTTTATGTGGGACTGGGGGTGTTTGAAATTCCTGTGTGTAGGATCATGCTTTTTGTAAACATAGATAGATTAAACATCTTCCAGTCTTTCTCTAAATTCGGGGCATTTAATCTCCTAATCATCTTCTCCTGCATGAAATGGGGCCTGGGACAATGCAATTCCCAGATTTAGATCTTGAACTGCAAATCTTAGACTCATGAAGAAGGTTTGATGCTGTCACACGACCTTACATTGCTAAAATCAGCTGGGCTGTGTGACCTCTGGACTGCAACTCACACAAAGTTAAGGAACATTGGAAGATTAGTCCATAAATCCTTCAACATCAAAGCAGGGGACATCTGCCAAATGTAGGATCAGGAGCACGATTCTCACATTTACTATGCTAAGAAATATTGCCAAATCTCACAGGTTTGCATAATAAATTGAATTAGCATTTTTTCCCCCAATAAAACTTCAATTGTGTTTTATTTTGAAAAGTCTTCAATCAGAACGACAGCCAAGTATATAACTATTTGACAAAACAGAAATAATGAATTAGATTTAATTTGTTAATACCATTAAATTTGTGTTTTTTTTCTCCATTTTTATGTATTTGTTATTATTATTATTTTGGGGTTCTGTTATGTTTCAATGTTTCGTTTTGAGAGAAATCCTACAGCTCAGAAAAAAAAAAAAAAAGAAAAAGAAAAAGAAAATATTTATTCTCGGTTGCTATAAAATATATTTTGTGTTTTTTTTCTTAAGAATCTAAGAAAAACAAATACTGATAACTCAGTGTCTGCCTCAAGACGTGAAATCAGCAGGTTGAGCTGAGAGCTCAGGGTCTACATGTTGACAGACTGTTTCTTTTGCAAACTTGCCTTTAACTGCTTTGTAAAAACACTTGGTTAAAGCAGACAACTTTCTATCTAATTTGCTTTCCATGTCCATTGCTTGTTTGTGACAGCATGTGGCTGCCAAAAGCAGGAGAAATAGCTCTATATAGGGGGTACTGCTTGGGACCCTAACACCAAAATGGTTCTCTTTTTTAATAAAATAAATTCACTGAGTTCTTAATGTAACACTCTGAGGTCTCCTGTTTTACACATTTAGAATAGCCATAGTTAACTATTATTATTTTTGTTCCCGTATTGGCACATTTCCATCCACTGAATGTTCCAAGATGATCCAAGTTTAGGGTTTTATAGGGCGATAAAGCAGGGATGGAATACACTGGCAATGAAAGAGTTACTACTGTATCCCATTATATTTCACTGTGTGCAATTATCATATTATTATTATTATTATTATATTATAATAATAATTATTATTATTTTTATTATTATTATAGCCATTTTATATCTGTGTTAATTTTTTATTTTTTTGTTCAGATATTTCTTGCTCTGAATTACTCTACGTGGTCTAATAGCTCACTAAAACGGTCTATTTCTAATTGACAAATGAGGCTTCATGCAAACTATGCAGTTAAAAATAAACACAGATATAAAATGGCTATAATAATAATAATAATAATAATAACAATAATACTAATATAATGATAATTGCACAAATAGACAGTTTTAGTGAGCTATTAGGCGACGTAAAGTAATTTAGAGCAAAAATATATATATAAAAAAAATAAAATAAAAAATTAGTTGTAAAAAGTAAACTATTTTTTTTGTTTTCTTCTAAATCTATCTTGGATTATATTTTGCAATCCGTAGTCAGTTTTATCCGGAGCTCACTGTTTAGTGAATTTACCCCTTAGCAATAACTAATTGTGCTCAGTTTTTTCCCTCTAACTGCTAGGGGGGTTCTTAAAAAAAATCTACCATACTCTACCATATTCTTCCATACTCTACCATACTACTATACTCAAAGTCAACGCATATCTGACTATAAAATGTATTGTATTGTCCGTATTTTGTTATAATTGTTTTGTTATAATTCATCAAATGTAGTAATACTTTAAATATGTTCTCAAAGTGTTGCAAATTGAAAATCAGGCGGTTTAGTCAATAAAATCCAGATATATTTTTATTTATAATATATATATTATCAAAGGCTTGTAATGGATTCTACAATTTGTCAAGTATAATCCCAGCATTTGGTCTTGTAGAATAGTAATCTCTAAAACTTTGTAAACTACATTTCCCATAATTCACAGCCAGCCAGTATTTAGGGCCCTAAGCTGTCAGTTGCCGCTAATGTTTATATATTTTTCAAATTCTTTTTCTTATGGTTGTTACAATGTACACATGTTATTTAAACAAAGTTCCATTTTCGAGGCAAAGTATTTTCCTGGCTTGTCTAAGAATTACTGGATAACTTTTCCAAAACTAAATGGGATCCACAACTGTGTAATTGCATGGTATTGATAAATCAGGCAAAACATTGGCTTCAACAGACAATCGTTTAACCCGTTATTGAGGCAGAGATCACAGCAAAACCAGGATAATCAACAAGAATGAATATAATAATCTATTCTTGTTTATGCTATTGATTGGAAATATTCCCACCTAAATAGGACAACTAAAAAAATATTTTAATCTTTTTCTTAATCAATCTGCCGTATTTCAAAGTTGATATATTTTTACTATTTCTCGTCTATACTCATTTTATATTTTTATGGCAACATGAGAGTTTATAGCAAAGTTCAAAGTGGCAATAGCACCTCCTGTCAGCCAACTGAGCTGATTTTTAGAAAACGTTTAGAATGTTAGAAAACATTTAGAATGTTAGACAACGTTTAGAATGTTAGAAAACATTTAGAATGTTAGACAACGTTTAGAATGTTAGAAAACATTTAGAATGTTAGACAACATTTAGAATGTTAGACAACGTTTAGAATGTTAGAAAACATTTAGAATGTTAGAAAACGTTTAGAATGTTAGACAACGTTTAGAATGTTAGTCTACGTTTAGAACGTATAACATAACCTGTTTCTGGATATATTTGAGACAGGATTCTATAGAGGATCACTTGGGCTGCACATAGTATTTACTATCCCAATAATTAGTGTGTGTTTACTAAACTTTTTTCGAACTGTTAACTTTTAACTTTTCATTGAAGTTTCAAATAAAAAAAAACTTTTTTAAAAAACAACAAAAAAACAAAAAAACGAACCCAACAAGTCAATGATTAAAGACTCCATATAAGTGCTGTATTTTACGAGTGAGAAATGACTCCGTTTCAAATAGTTAAAGAAGTTATATTCGCTAAACTGCAGTTGTCAAGACTTTGAACAATCTTGCAAAATTGAAATTAAAAATAGCAAAGAAGAAAAATCGGATTTTTCCCCAGGAAGATCATGTCGGTCAGTTTTCCAAATGAATTATGAATTCTCCACACCCTACAGTCTAACTCTAGCTTTGTTAGAACTTTCAGATCAGGTGGGTTTAATAGAGGGAGGAAGGAAGTTGGGGTGTGCAGGTTTGAGGAGACCACCTTACCTGCTTTTACCGAACAGTGAATGTGGGCTTTGGAATCAAAGACCACCCAATCAAATCCAGCCTCTACCGCCAGCCTGGCTAACAAGCCATATTTACTACGGTCTCTGTCAGAAGTGGTGATGTCCACTGCTCGACCCTCATAGTGGAGAGACTCTTCTGCATGATGACCATCTTCATCCCATCCCTCAGTCACCCTCAGCTTCACCCCTGCCCACTGGTTCATCACTGAGATAGCCAGGGCATTGAGTTTGTCTTTACATCTCTGGGGAAAGATGGGAAAACAGAGAGGGACATGTTAAAGACAGCAGAATGTGCATGGTGAAAAATATTATTATATTATTTTATTGTTATACAATCACCATAACCATCCTTTTCTATAGCACTGACCACACCAATATATTGACAGTTGTGGAGTTAAAGCTGTGAGTTTGGATCAAGCTTTTAATATTCTCTTGGTTTGTCTGGTGGAGAGGTGGCTAAACATAATATTCTGCCACAACACTGATTTATCAGCTATGCTTCCATAAAACAGCAATAAACTCAATTTTTGTTTTAGATTACTTATACAAACACTTTCATGGATGTATTCACTAAAATAACTGTTTGTGGAGAGTTGGATTCATTGGCTGAGATCCATCTACATTATGAGGGTTGGAAAGATGTCTCTAATTCAGTATTCAGTTGGACTTTAGTTTCCATTCTAAATCTGGGCATATTTTTTCTCTCTTTTAACAAGATACTATTATGTAAACTGACAAATAATTTATGTAAGCTCTGTACTGCTCTAAATCGAAATAAAACATGTCTTGACGACAATGACATCTATATATTGTATGTAATATAAATAAGATTATTCTGGTTAAAATACAATGTTATTAATAAATTGTGAGGCTAGGGAACTTAGTGCATGCAGGCCTTATAGGATTCAACATGTGGGTATTATCACACTCAAGTCTAATTCTTCTTAATATTTTATACTCCATGTCATGAAAGAGACCTAGGGGAGGACCTATTTACTAAACTGGGAGAAATGCACTTTATTCAAAATAGCTGATTTAGAAAACAATCTTTAATTTGCCTTTTTCAGCCCAAAATTTGCTCCCAGTTTCATATTACTGAAGTACCCATTGGGGTGTATTTTGAAGTACTAGGGGCACCTCATAATGAAGACATTGTAACCTTTGTGTTAAGTAGAAGACTTAGACTCAGCACTCTCAGAAGATCATAGAGCCCACATTGAGCCATATGGCCTGGAAAATGTATCAGAAAACCTAATTAATAGGGAGAAATAAATAAGTGATGCTGATATCCCGCTCTGGCTGGTTCTGGGAGTTAATTACTCTTTAATAGTGCCCAAAATAAATAATTATAATTATACAACAAGAGTCTGGGGACATTTTCTTTCTCAATATGTCACAGGTCACCATAGCCAATGCCATTCTCTGATCTCTCAGGATCTGAGAATCCACCTATTTCTTTAACTTTACTTCCCTGTTGAAAAGTCTTTGAATAGGTTGCCAGTTCCTTTATCTTTGGAGAAACTTTTCCTTTCAGATCAATCACTAGAGTCCTTGGCTTTGCAGGTAAGTGAGCTTCAGACCCTATTCTAGAACATTTTAGATAGCACTTTCTGGAGGGGGGAGGAGGGTGGGGGTACTGGGAGAGGCCTCAGCACAGGGTAAGCAGATAGTGCAGGTATTCCAGATAACAGTCACAAGAGTTTGTCTTTAGAAAGAATAGGAGATGACAATAAACATGATTTATCTTGAATGATACTTAAAATAATCATAAATAAATAGAACTTAGACCAGATACTTATTCCACTTGACTAATTAGGGAAGAGATAAGTTACATTTCTGCTCTTCCTGTTTCCTTTTGTAATAAATGTTCATAGGAAATTACCCAGGACTTAACCAGTGGGTGAGAGAACATGGCATGGGGAGGGTAGAATGCGAGGTGAGCAGGTTTAGCTAGAATTAGGTCAGTGTAGGTATGAGTGCAGGTTTAGTTAGGTCAGTGTAGGTATGAGTGCAGGTTTAGTTAGGTCAGTGAAGATATAAGTCCAGGCTTAGTTAGGTCAGTGCAGGTTTAGTTAGGTCAGTGTAGGTATGGGTGCAAGTTTAGTTAGGTCAGTGCAGATATAAGTGCAGGTTTAGTTAGGTCAGTGTAGGTATGAGTGCATGTTTAGTTAGGTCAGTGCAGGGGTGAGTGCATGTTTAGTTAGCATTAGGTCAGTGTAGGTATAAGTCCAGGTTTAGTTAGGTCAGTGTAGGTTAAATTAGCTCAGTGTAGGTATGAGTGCAGGTTTAGTTAGGTCAGTGTAGGTTAAGTTAGGTCAGTGTAGGTATGAGTGTAGGTTTAGTTAGGTCAGTGTAGGTTTAGTTAGGTCCGTGTAGGTATGAGTCCAGGTTTAGTTAGGTCAGTGCAGATATGAGTGTAGGTTTAGTTAGGTCCGTGTAGGTATAAGTCCAGGTTTAGTTAGGTCCCTGTAGGTTTAGTTAGGTCAGTGTAGGTATAAGTCCAGGTTTAGTTAGGTCCCTGTAGGTTTAGTTAGGTCAGTGCAGGTATGAGTGCAGGTTTAGTTAGGTCCCTGTAGGTTTAGTTAGGTCAGTGTAGGTATAAGTCCAGGTTTAGTTAGGTCCCTGTAGGTTTAGCTAGGTCAGTGTAGGTATAAGTCCAGGTTTAGTTGGGTCCCTGTAGGTTTAGTTAGGTCAGTGTAGGTATAAGTCCAGGTTTAGTTAGGCCCCTGTAGGTTTAGTTAGGTCAGTGTAGGTATAAGTCCAGGTTTAGTTAGGTCCCTGTAGGTTTAGTTAGGTCAGTGTAGGTATGAGTGCAGGTTTAGTTAGGTCCCTGTAGGTTTAGTTAGGTCAGTGTAGGTATAAGTCCAGGTTTAGTTGGGTCCCTGTAGGTTTAGTTAGGTCAGTGTAGGTATAAGTCCAGGTTTAGTTGGGTCCCTGTAGGTTTAGTTAGGTCAGTGTAGGTATAAGTCCAGGTTTAGTTGGGTCCCTGCAGGTTTAGTTAGGTCAGTGTAGGTATAAGTCCAGGTTTAGTTGGGTCCCTGTAGGTTTAGTTAGGTCAGTGTAGGTATAAGTCCAGGTTTAGTTGGGTCCCTGTAGGTTTAGTTAGGTCAGTGTAGGTAAAAGTCCAGGTTTAGTTGGGTCCCTGTAGGTTTAGTTAGGTCAGTCAAGGTATAAGTCCAGGTTTAGTTAGGTCCCTGTAGGTTTAGTTAGGTCAGTGTAGGTATAAGTCCAGGTTTAGTTAGGTCCCTGTAGGTTTAGTTAGGTCAGTGTAGGTATGAGTCTGGGTTTAGTTAGGTCAGTGCAGGGATGAGTGCACGTGGGAAATTTGGTTAGGCCAATTCAGATGATTTGAGTGCAGGTGGAAGGGTGAGTGTGACAATGTAGCTGCAGATTGGAGGATAAATGTGAGTGCAGATTGGAGGGTGAGTGTGAGTGCAGGTTGGAGGGTGAGTGCAGGTTGGAGGATGAGTGTGAGGGCAGGTTGGAGGGTGAGTGTGGGTGCAGGTTGATGGGTGAGTGCAGGTTGGAGTGTGAGTGCAGGTTGAAGGGTGAGTGTGAGTGCAGGGTGTCTTTGGATCCTGTGCAGTGCTACCAATATCTATAATAAAAGTTAATAAAATTACAGGGAGGTTTTACAGGAGTTAACTCTTTCTGTCCCATCATTTAACCCACCTGCAAAATGCAGCAATTTCTGTAACTTTCTCTCCAATCCATGAACCTGCTTCACATAGATTGCTGGCTGCCAATCTGCAGCTAAACACGTTACAAACTATCACATTGTATCGCTTTGTCCATGAATATAAATGCCTTTCTTTTTATTGTTTTAGTTTGGTTGTTGTTGTGTCAGTGTTTGCACTGTTTGCTGTGTCTGTGTCAGGATGTTTATTGGAGTAAGTGCAGTTACTGGGGTTTACAACGTGCTGCGAGCTGGGTTGTCAAACCGTGAAGCTCTGACTGTTAGTGCAGTGAACGGGTCGTGTGCCACAAATCAGCCCAATCCTGCTCAGTCACCATGAACCCAGCAGGGCAGCCTGGACAGGGCTTTGTGCCGGGGACAAGTTCTCCCTCCCCTGCCAGCGCCTAATCTTTTTACTAATGGGGGGCTGGAAGAGACTCTTAACAGGTACCTGTCAGTGTAAACAATCCGGTGGGCTTCACACAGCCCCTGGAGACCTCGAAATTCCTTACAGTATACATGGAGCTCTGTGTCTAAATGGTCACTGGGCTTCTTATTTCACACTGCCTGGGGAGCTCACACTCCTGGTGCCCCCAGCTCTGTGTGTCCCCTCATCAAACACTTTCTCTCTCGCTGTCTGCCTGTCTCTCTCTGTCTCCCACTCTCTGATTATCTCTGTGTATTCTCTCTCTCTCTGTCTGATTCTCATTCTCTCTCTCTCTCTGTCTGATTCATTATCCGATTCTCTCGCTCTCTGTCTCTCTGTCTCTCTCTCTGATTCTCTCGCTCTCTGTCTCTCTCACACTCTCTCGCTCTCTGTCTCTCTCTCTGATTCTCTGTCTCTCTCTCTGATTCTCTCGCTCTCTGTCTCTCTGTCTCTCTCTCTGATTCTCTCTCGCTCTCTGTCTCTCTGATTCTCTGTCTCTCTGTCTCTCTGTCTCTCTCTCTGATTCTCTTGCTCTCTGTCTCTCTCTCTGATTCTCTCTCGCTCTCTGTCTCTCTCTCTCTCTCTCTCTGTCTCTCTCTCTCTCTCTCTGATTCTCTTGCTCTCTCTGTCTCTCTCTCTCTCTCTCTGATTCTCCTCTCTCTCTCTCTGATTCTCTCGCTCTCTGTCTCTCTCTCTCTCTGATTCTCTCGCTCTCTGTCTCTCTCTCTCTGATTCTCTCGCTCTCTGTCTCTCTCTCTCTCTGATTCTCTCTCTCTCTGTCTCTCTCTCTCTCTGATTCTCTCGCTCTCTGTCTCTCTCTCCCCACCCCTCCATCTAGTTAATATTAACCAGTAGCTAACGCAAGAAACAAATATTTTGCAGGTTTAAGAGTCCCATCCAGGCAGCTCTTTACATTGTAGGTAGGTGTGAGGCTGGCTCAGCCTGTTGCCAAGAATTTAGCTGAACAAGAGATTATTCAATAAAAACCAGCACCCAGCAGGCACTATACATGGGTTTAATATCAGGTCAGACCCTGCGTGCAGCCTGTACATACTGGGATCTGTGTGATTTATTTTCAATTGTTTGGTTTTAAACAAGGTGACAGAAGGTCAGAAGTTCACTTAGTGTCAATGGGTTTCCAGTGCCAGGACTGCCACCACAACCACTTATCACATCTACAGGGCTTCCAGTGCCAGGACTGCTACCACAACCACTTATCACATCTACAGGGCTTCCAGTGCCAGGACTGCCAACACAACCACTTATCACATCTACAGGGCTTCCAGTGCCAGGACTGCCAACACAACCACTTATCACATCTACAGGGCTTCCAGTGCTGGGCTGCCACCACAACCACTTATCACATCTATAGAGCTTCCAGTGCCAGGACTGCCACCACAACCACTTATCACATCTATAGGGCTTCTAGTGTCAGAAATGCCACCATAACCACTTATCACATCTGTAGGGCTTTCAGTGCCAGGACTGCCACCACAACCACTTATTACATCTTTAGGGCTCCCAGTGCTGGACTGCCACCACAACTACTTATCACATCTATAGGGTTCCCAGTGCCAGGACTGCCACCACAACTACTTATCACATCTATAGGGCTCCCAGTGCTGGACTGCCACCACAGCCACTTATCACATCTATAGGGCTTCCAGTGCCAGAACTGCCACCACAACCACTTATCACGTCTATAGGGCTCCCAGTGCCAGGACTGCCACCACAACCACTTATCACATCTATAGGGCTCCAAGTGCTAGGACTACCATCCACCTAGTGCGGGACTCCCAGTGCTAGGACTACCATCTACCTAGTGCGGGGCTCCCAGTAACAGGGCAGCCATGGTTATACTGAAAACACTGTTGGACTCCGTATGCCCCCTATCATTTCTGCACTGCTGGCTTCTCTCTGCCAGTCCGACAATTGCACATGGTATAACTCCATGTGCCAGCCATGCCAACCTCACACTGCCCTATGTGCCAGCCATGCCATGCCTACTCTGCCCCTTTTCCAACTATGCCATTCTACACTACCCCTTGTGCCAACCATGCCATCCGATACTGCCACCTTTGCCAGCCATGCCACCCACACTGCCTCCTGTGCCAGCCATATTTTCCCTGCATTGTCTCATATTCCAGCCATACCATCTCTACACCACCTCCAGCGCCAGCCTTATCTTCCCTGCATTGCCTCCTGTGCCAGCCATACCATATCTACACTGCCCCCTGTACATTGCAACTGTGCCAGCCACGCCATCTCTAAACTGCCTCTTGTGCCAGTCATGACATACCTACATTGCCCCCTGTGCCAGCTCTTGTATTACTCTCTGTGCCATGGATGCAATCTCTACTCTGCCGGGATTCCTGTGCCAGCCATGCCATCTGTACACTGCTAGGCTGTCTGTTCCAGGGTTACCATGCCCACATTGGGACTTACATCAGCTGCACTGTCGCCACAATGTGACAAACCAATATGCACAATCTCTACAGAAAGTACCAACTCCCAGTGATAGAACAGCTGTCTGTCTGTCTATCTATCTATCTATCTATCTATCTATCTATCTATCTATCTATCTATCCATCCATCTATCCATCCATCTATCCATCCATCTATCTCTCTATCTATCTATCTATCCAGTATCTATCTATCCATGTATCTATCTATCTATCTATCTATCTATCCAGTATCTATCTATCTATCTATGTATCTATCTATCTGTCTGTCTGTCTATCTATATAACTCTCAGACAGAACATTTGAATATTGAGGCACAGTATAATATATGGACTTAAATTACGTCAGTCTACCTAATATATTACTACATCCTAGTATCTCTCTCTCTCTAGCTATGTAGTCTCTCTCTCTAGCAATGTAGTGTCTCTCTCTCTCCCTATATCTCTCTATGTTCCGGGTTATGGAGGGTGATCTAATAATGCCTGCTGTCTGCTGTGCGATCAGGAAATTGATCGGTCACTGTCAGAGAGTCGGGTCTTTAAGGGACAGCCAGGCAGATTTAAGGTGGCATGTCCCAGGTCCTGAGGGGAATCTGTCACTGGAGCTGAACACAGCCAGTGGATCCATGGAAGGTCTGACACTCTGTCAAATCTCCACTCATCTGGGCAACTCGTCTTAGAAGTGCAGCAAAATCAGCCTGACCTATATATCTGTCCCCCTACCACCCTCATCATAAGAATTCCTTGTCATAAAGCTTTAACTGCACTCAGAAACTCTGACACTCAATGAGTATCCCAGACACTGCCACCGAGGATACAATCCAATTAGCCACAGGGGCCACTGTGCCAGAGGGTTCATTTGCCTCCTTGCCAGGAGCTGGCCAGCGATGATGTAATGTCCCTACTAGGCAGAGTTACCAGGGACCACGATCTGGCTGGGACAACCTTAAACGCAGAGCTATGCTATCACGCTTGGCTGGGCACCATAGCAAATCATTATATCGCCCAGTAGCCAGAAGCGATTTAACGAAAGAGCAGAGTCAAGCGGTCGATTCAGATTTAACTGTCGTTGTGGGGAGGGAGAAGGAGGGGGGCAGATATAACTAGGTACTAAATACTGAGTAATCTCAATCTGCTTCAGTAAATGGGGTCCAGTTAGATCACACCTGTCATCCTGCTGGATAGAGTGTTGGAGATTGGCATGGAACACTCCGCTGGATACAATGTAACTAACTGGGTCAAGTGCTACGTTAAAACAATGTATCCAAGTTAGAACGTGTTGAATGGAATGTTTGTAGCAGTGGAAATCAAAACAAAAAATGAAAATCAAAAAAAAAAAAAAATCAAAACAAACCTTGATCCACAGCCTCCTGTCAATCTATTTCGTCCTATGCATTTTGTCTATAATAATGAGAATCTACTGAGCTATTATCTATTAATATGAGCCAATACCCAATAGTGAACTTCGTAAAAAAAAAAAAAAAAAAAAAAGTACCTGAGTCATCAGTCTGTCTGCTCCTGTGTTCTCCTCGTCTTTAAAAATAATATCAGGGTTATAATTTGGAGTTAATTCTTTAAACCTGTCCGAATTTCTGGTGATCTTCCCTTCAAACCGTCCACTGGCCCCTAGGGTCTTCTCAGCCACATTGGGAATAAACTGCTTATAAGCCAATGGGGTTAGTTTTTTGGTGTACCTTCTTTTGCCAATTCCTCTACCTGGTCCACAGGCAAGTCCGGGTTGGACCACTAAGTAAGTGAAGTATCCCACCAGGAGCAAGCGTGTCAGCACCAACATTTCATCCATAGAACCCAAAGCCTCCCAAGCTCAATGTAGGTAGGTATCTCCTTTTAGTAAGTGACCCAATTCCAAATGTTCTGAATGCTCATGCACTATCCAAAGATCCCTATTAAGGCAACTGCTGCAGTAGCAAGGTGCAGGTCTTTGATAACGGAACACATCTCAGTACAGACATGACACAGTAATCAGAAGAAGGGAAAAAAAAAAAAAAAAAGAAAAAAAAAAGGAAAAAAAAAAAGGAAAAAAAAAGGGTTTGATTGGAATAAGATCAGGCAGTGCTGGAGAGCCTGTGAGAACTGTCTTTGCCTTTAGTGCTATATTATAGCTGGCTGGGCCTGGAGCTGATTGGTCAGAACAGGCAAAGCTTGTCTTGTTAACCCTTTTCACAGCTACACACTCTCACCAAGAGTCCTGTCCTCTCTTATTTGAAAGATTGGAGAGAGGGGGCGTGGCCAGGATTTCATAGGGTAACATCAATTACACGCTCTGTGTAAAACTTTCTTGGCAAAATGACACAATTTGTCAGCATGGATAGAAAGGCTGCTTCCATCCGCTGATATGGAGAGGTATCTGTTCAGAGATCTACATTGCTAAGGAATCATTCCTCTGAACTATGCATTTATTGGCAGCCCTGTCTGACACTGGTACATCACAGTTAGACACAGATTTATCTGGTTTTATTTCATTTTCATGTCTTTCTATATCAGTTACATTTTCATTTTCCAGTCCAGTTGCAACTTCAAGTCTGTTGGTATCTATCTATCTATGTATCTATCCATCTATCTCTCCCTCTCATCTCTTTCTCTCTCTCTCTATCCATCTATCTCTCCCTTTATCTATCTATCTATCTATCTATCTATCTATCTATCTATCTATCTATCTATCTATCTATCTATCTATCCATCTATCCATCTATCTCTCCCTCTCATCCATCTATCTATCTATCTATCTATCTATCTATCTATCTATCTATCTATCTATCTATCTATCCATCTATCCATCTATCTCTCCCTCTCTATCTATCTATCTATCTATCTATCTATCTATCTATCTATCTATCTACCCCATAATACACACACACACACACACACGCACGCACACACACACACACGCGCACACACGCACACACACAAACACTAGACACGCGCACACACACATAAGACAGAACACACATATAAACACATAAACTTAGAAACATATTAGTTCAGCTGTTCTTCAGTATTTACAACACGAACACTTTTTTTCTGTTATTGTCTTCATATTTCACTAATTTGCCATCTTTGTAATTATTTATAAATGCCATCTATTTTCTCAGTACATAGAACTTTACAGGGTCAGTTTAAAGGGACACAGACACCACTACACTTTAAACCAAACTGATTGCTGTCTGGATACTTAGAATTCTCACAGATAACCAGTCACTTGCAAATGGCCAAATATTGACCCCCCTGTTAGAGTCATTACATTTTAGTCTTAAACCTTGTTTAAAACATCAGTAAACACAAAGTCCAGGGTTTGATCATGGATAAATGAATGGGCAGGTGAGGGAGGGGGAGAGTAATGTTAATTTAATTGTTCCTGAGGGACTGTGTATTTGTTCTTCTGACTTTCAAAAAACAGCTAACTAGTAACAAAGTGTTAAAAGGTGGAGGACTCTCTTTTCTGTCATTCTCAGTACCTGATAACAGGCCAGCCATGGAGGGAGTACAGCTTTAAGGCAGGGTGCTGTGAGGAGGATGGCTGAGAGTGATTAAAGCTTAGATTCAGCCATTACATGAAGGGTACTTGCTACAGCCTGTGCTGGTATTAGTGGGTTAAACCTTTGATATGTCAACATTGACACAATTAAAATAAGAACAAAAACGTATTATATGCTAAAGAAAATGCTACAATAGTACCAGTCTTACAACTTTCAAATCAACTATATAGATACCAGATAAATGGGACAACCCAGTAATTACTTCTAAGCAAATGTCTACCTGGATTTTAACCCCTGGGCACCCAGATAGGTGGTTGGGCATATTGCTCACTCTGGCGAGTAAATAGTTAAACTTCTGTATGTTGAGCTTTTTAACCCCTTAAGGACCAAACTTCTGGAATAAAAGGGAATCATGACATGTCACACATGTCATGTGTCCTTAAGGGGTTAAACCACAACTCCTGTTCAATCTCAGCAAAACACAGTGAACGATGTCTTACCAGGAAAATGTACATCTACTGCCCCTAACTCAGTACTGTTCCTCTGCTGGGTGCTGGATTGACTCCAGCGCTGAAAGGGTTAACAGTGAGCACTCTGTAAGGTGGTTTGATGGGAGCTGTCGGCTGTTTGTTTAAACATAGTATGTGAACACAAGTCAAAAGAAAAATAATATCACAGAGAGAAAAAAAAAAACTAGAATGTGTGTGTGTGTGTTTGATGTGGTCTGGAGTGTTGATGTAACTGATGAGTTAATAATCATGCGAATATATTAAAAAAGAAAAAAAAACTTCTCTCAGTGCTGTGACAAGATCCAGGCTCTCAGACCTACCTTACTGCTAAAAACACCTACTGCAGATCAATAGGACAGCCTGATACAGGGCAGTGCCAAGGGCAGGGGATGGGACACATCCAGTAATGTAGCAAACAGCACTGTGCTAGAATGTAGATGCATTATCCATACATACCATGGCTGGCTATATGGGGGTGCTGGATCCACTGCAGTCACTATAGGGAGGTAAGTCTCCTCTGTACAAGGTGAGGAGAGGTAGTGGGGAGATTGGGGGGTAAACTGAAAAAGGAAGAATGAGAATTGACACATACTAGGAGGGGAGGATAGAGGCTGAATGCAGGGATCAGGTGGAATGTGAGCCTGAGATGATGTAAGCAAAGAAACAGGGTGTGAGAGGAAAAGAGACAGACTGATAGAGAGAGAGAGAGAGACATACGTACAGAGAGAGAGAGGGGGACAATGGCAGAGGTAGTGAGAGAGAAATAGTGAGAGAGAATGATGGGGGAGGAGGGAGGATGAAATACAGATAGAGAGTTGGAATGAGATAGATAAAGAGAGAGAAAGAAATAGCTAGATAAATAAAAACGGATAAATGGATATATATAAACATGGATAGATGAATGGATGGATAGATAGAGAGAGAGAGGTATAGAGAATGAAGGATAGCAGAGACAGAGAGAGAATGAGAAAAGATATATACATAGAGAAGATAGAGAGACAGAGCAATAGAGAGAGAGAGAGACGTGAGGCAGAGTTATAAAGAGAGCAGAGGGAGAGACAGGGAGTGCTCTGAGAGAGACAACAGAGGGAGATAGACAGGGAGTGCTCTGAGAGAGACAGGGAGTGCTCTGAGAGAGACAGCAGAGAGAGACAGAGAGTGCTCTGATAGAGACAGCAGAGAGAGAGACAGGGCGTGCTCTGAGAGAGACAGCAGAGGGAGAGAGACAGGGAGTGCTCTGAGAGAGACAGCAGAGGGAGTGACAGGGAGTGCTCTGAGAGAGACAGCAGTGGGACAGAGACAGGGAATGCTCTGAGACAGCAGAGAGAGAGACAGAGAGTGCTCTGATAGAGACAGCAGAGGGAGAGAGACAGGGAGTGCTCTGATAGAGACAGCAGAGAGAGAGAGGCATGGAGTGCTCTGAGAGAGACAGGGAGTGCTCTGAGAGAGACAGCAGAGAGAGAGAGAGAGACAGAGAGTGCTCTGATAGAGACAGCAGAGGGAGGAATGCAGAGAGTGCTCTTAGCAGAGAGAATTTGCCCTCCTTGCTGCCCTAAGAGCAATTTTCTCAATGCAGCCCCCTATGTATATAATATATATTACACATACATATATGCTAAAGTGTGGGGTATGCGATTGAATGCGTTAATGCAAGGTTTGTCAAGATGCTGTGTGTTTGATTGTGTATGTGGGGTAAGCTGCTTGTGAAGTTGCTTGTTTCTGGGCATGCTGTGTGTATGGTTGTGTATGTGGGGTAAGCTGCTTGTGGGGTTGCTTGTTTCTGGGCATGCTGTGTGTATGGTTGTGTATGTGAGGTAAGCTGCTTGTGGGGTTGCTTGTTTCTGGGCATGCAGTGTTTTTGGTTGTGTATGTGTGGTACGCTGCTTGTGGGGCTGCTTGTTTCTGGGCATGCAGTGTTTTTGATTGTGTATGTGGGGTAAGCTGCTTGTGGGGTTGCTTGTTTCTGGGCATGCTGTGAGTTTGATTGTGTATATGGGGTAAGCTGCTTGTGGGGTTGCTTGTTTCTGGGCATGCTGTGTGTTTGATTGTGTATGTGGGGTAAGCTGCTTGTGGGGTTGCTTGTTTCTGGGCATGCTGTGTGTTTGGTTGTGTATGTGGGGTAAGCTGTTTGTGAAGTTGCTTGTTTCTGGGCATGCAGTGTTTTTGGTTGTGTGTGTGGGGTAAGCTGCTTGTGGAGTTGCTTGTTTCTGGGCATGCTGTGTGTATGGTTGTGTATGTGGGGTAAGCTGCTTGTGAAGTTACTTGTTTCTGGGCATGCTGTGTGTTTGGTTGTGTATGTGGGGTAAGCTGCTTGTGGGGTTGCTTGTTTCTGGGCATGCGTGTGTATGGTTGTGTATGTGGGGTAAGCTGCTTGTGGGGTTGCTTGTTTCTGGGCATGCAGTGTTTTTGGTTGTGTATGTGTGGTACGCTGCTTGTGGGGTTGCTTGTTTCTGGGCATGCAGTGTTTTTGATTGTGTATGTGGGGTAAGCTGCTTGTGGGGTTGCTTGTTTCTGGGCATGCAGTGTTTTTGATTGTGTATGTGGGGTAAGCTGCTTGTGGAGTTGCTTGTTTCTGGGCATGCTGTGTGTTTGATTGTGTATGTGGGGTAAGCTGCTTGTGGGGTTGCTTGTTTCTGGGCATGCTGTGTGTTTGGTTGTGTATGTGGGGTAAGCTGCTTGTGGGGTTGCTTGTTTCTGGGCATGTGTGTGTATGGTTGTGTATGTGGGGTAAGCTGCTTGTGAAGTTGCTTGTTTCTGGGGCATGCTTGTGGGGTTGCTTGTTTCTGGGCATGCAGTGTTTTTGTTGTGTATGTGGGGTAAGCTGCTTGTGGGGTTGCTTGTTTCTGGGCATGCAGTGTTTTTGATTGTGTATGTGGGGTAAGCTGCTTGTGGGGTTGCTTGTTTCTGGGCATGCTGTGTGTTTGATTGTGTATGTGGGGTAAGCTGCTTGTGGGGTTGCTTGTTTCTGGGCATGCTGTGTGTTTGGTTGTGTATGTGGGGTAAGCTGTTTGTGAAGTTGCTTGTTTCTGGGCATGCAGTGTTTTTGGTTGTGTGTGTGGGGTAAGCTGCTTGTGGAGTTGCTTGTTTCTGGGCATGCTGTGTGTTTGGTTGTGTATGTGGGGTAAGCTGCTTGTGGGGTTGCTTGTTTCTGGGCATGCTGTTCCCTGGTGGTCAAATAGGAGATGTTGCTGTCTACACCTCAGTGGGCTCAGACAGCTCCCTCCGGCCAGCACCTGAGGGATTGAATCAGAGCATTTCCATGGTGACAAGACAATAGGTGAGCAGCTGATTATACAAGGTCAGCGAGCAACTAGTGGATGTTCAGTGTCAGTATATGTGTAGAGGCTGGACGTCCACAGTGAGTATGTGTGTAGATGCTAGAAGTCCAGTGTCAATATGTGTGTAGTTGCTGGAAGTCCAGTGTCAGTATGTGTGTAGATGCTGGAAGTCCAGTGTCAGGATGTGTGAAAAACACACACACACTCACTGATTTGACACACTGATAGACAGACACACACTTTTACTCAGACACACACTGACAGACGCTTGCACTGACAGATGCACAAACTCACTGACGACACATACACACTCACTGACCCACACATGCATATTCACTGACCGACACACACACACACATTCACTCACAGACACACATTCACTTAGACACACACACTTACAGACACACACACTTACAGACACACACAACACACACAACACACACACACACACACACATTCGCTTAGACACACCTTTACAGACACACACACATACACACACTCATACACACACACACATTCACTTACAGACACACACACTCACAGATACACACACACATTTACTCACAGACACACACACAGACATTTCCCCCAACACTCACAAATTATAATTTTTTTTATTTTAATTTTAAATCCACCCAGCCTCCATGGGAGAGCTGGAGTGGACTACTTACCTGTCCAGTAGGGCTGCTGGGCAGCCAGGCAGGGGGTGGCCAGGCAGAGTAGGCGGCAAGGGAGCTCTGATTTTCCTGCTTAGCTCCTTCGTGCGCCGCTTAGTGATGCCGGGAGCCGGTCTGCAGGGGTGTATTTACCCCGAGGCAAACAAGACATTTTCCGTGGGCGGCACTTTCTGGGGGGCGGCAAAAAAAGCAGCCCCCCAATCATGCTGGCAAATGCCTTGGCAGCCTCTTGTCCTGGGTAGCCCAGGAGTTGGAGGGGTGGCCACCTTAAGGCCCCCCTGGCTGGCAGCGGTGGCACTTTCCGGGCGGGCGGCGATGGAGCACTGATCCTCCCGTTCAGCTCCCTCGCGCACACCACAGTGATGCCGGAGCCGGAATATGACGTCATTCCGGCTCCGGCATCACTACGTGGTGCACGAGGGAGCTGAACAGGAGGATTAGTGCTCCCTCACTGACTGCAGTCACCGGCTGGCCGCCACAAGCAGCTTACCCCACATACACAACCATACACACAGGGAAAGCGATAATCCACCCCAGCATTCCCAAAGGTAAGAAGGCTGGGGTGATTGAATTAAAAAAAATGTGGGTGTGTGTCTGTTAGTGAGTGTGTGTGTGTCTGTTAGTGAGTGAGTGTGTGTCTGTTAGTGAGTGTGTGTGCCTGTTAGTGTGTGTGTGTGTCTGTTAGTGAGTGTGTGTCTGCTAGTGAGTGTGTGTGTGTCTGTTAGTGAGTGTGTGTGTGTGTGTGTCTGTTAGTGAGTATCTGTCTGTTAGTGAGTGTGTGTGTGTCTGTTAATGAGTAAGTGTGTGTCTGTTAGTGAGTGTGTGTGTCTGTTAGGGAGAGTGTATGCGTGTCTTTTAGTGAATGTGTGTGTCTGCTAGTGACTGTATGTGTCTGTTAGTGAGTGTGTATGTCTGTTAACTAGTGTATGTGTGTCTGTCTGTCAGTGAATGTGTGTGTCTGACACTGAGTGTATATGTGTCTGTCAGTGAGTGTGTATGTGTATTTAGAAGGCGGGGCATGGGGGGGCAGAGGAGGGGTGCCTGAGTTTTGTCATGCCTAGGGCAGCACAAAACCAGGACACACCACTGCCGGCCTGACTTCATATTCCGTCTCCCGGCTTCATTAAACGGCACAGAGGGAGCTAAGCAGGAAGAGCTCAGGTGAGTATGCTCCCTTGCTTCCCGCTGTCCGCCTTGGGGGGGCTCAAAAGTGGCCAGCTGGCCAGCTCTTGAGCCCCCAAGATACGAGGCAAGCAAGGGGGGGCGTTTGGGGGCGGCTTTTTTTGCCGCCCCCTGCAAAGTGCCGCCCAAGGCAGATGCCTTGTTTGCCTTGTGTAAGATACGTCTCTGTGTAGATGCTGGCAGTCCAGTGTCAGTATGTGTGTAGATGCTAGAAGTCCAGTGTCAGTATGTGTGTAGCTGCTGGAAGCCCAGTGTCAGTATGTATGTAGATGCTAGATGTCCAGTGTCAGTATGTGTGTAGATGCTGGAAGTCCCGTGTCAGTATTTGTATAGAGGCTGGAATTCCAGTGTCAGTATATGTGTAGATGCTGGAAGCTCAGTGTCAGTATGTGTGTAGATGCTGTAAGCCCAGTGTCACTGTGTGTGTAGATGCTAGAAGTCCCGAGTCAGTATTTACAGTTGCAAGAAAAAGTATGTGAACCTTTGGAGTGATATGGATTTCTGCACAAATTGGTCATAAAATGTGATCTGATCATCATCTAAGTCACAACAATAGACAATCACAGTCTGCTTAAACTAATAACACACAAAGAATGAAATGTTGCCATGTTTTTATTGAACACACCATGTAAACATTCACAGTGCAGGTGGAAAAAGTATGTGAACCCCTAGACTAATGACATCTCCAAGAGCTAATTGGAGTGAGATGTCAGCCAACTGGAGTCCAATCAATGAGATTAGATTGGAGGTGTTGGTTACAGCTGCCCTGCCCTATAAAAACACACACACCAGTTCTGGGTTTGCTTTTCACAAGAAGCATTGCCTGATGTGAATGATGCCTCGCACAAAAGAGCTCTCAGAAGACCTACGATTAAGAATTGTTGACTTGCATAAAGCTGGAAAGGGTTATAAAAGTATCTCCAAAAGCCTTGCTGTTCATCAGTCCACGGTAAGACAAATTGTCTATAAATGGAGAAAGTTCAGCACTGCTGCTACTCTCCCTAGGAGTGGCCGTCCTGTAAAGATGACTGCAAGAGCACAGCGCAGACTGCTCAGTGAGGTGAAGAAGAATCCTAGAGTGTCAGCTAAAGACTTACAAAAGTCACTGGCAAATGCTAACATCCCTGTTAGCGAATCTACAATATGTAAAACACTAAACAAGAATGAATTTCATGGGAGGATACCACAGAGGAAGCCACTGCAGTTCAAACAAAACATTACTGCACGTTTACAGTTTGCACAAGAGCACCTGGATGTTCCACAGCAGTACTGGCAAAATATTCTGTGGACAGATGAAACCAAAGTTAAGTTGTTTGGAAGAAACACACAACACTATGTGTGGCGAAAAAAAGGCACAGCACACCAACATCAAAACCTCATCACAACTGTGAAGTATGCTGGTATGGGCATCATGGTTTGGGGCTGCTTTGCTGCGTCAGGGCCTGGACTGATTGCTATCATTGAAGGAAAAATGAATTCCCAAGTTTATCAAAACATTTTGCAGGAGAACTTAAGGCCATCTGTCTACCAGCTGAAGCTCAACAAAAGATGGGTGTTGCAACAGGACAATGACCCAAAGCATAGAAGTAAATCAACAACAGAATGGCTTAAACAGAAGAAAATACGCCTTCTGAAGTGGCCCAGTCAGAGTCCTGACCTCAACCCGATTGAGATGCTGTGGCATGACCTCAAGAAAGTGATTCACACCAGACATCACAAGAATATTTCTGAACTGAAACAGTTCTGTAAAGAGGAATGGTCAAGAATTACTCCTGACCGTTGTGCATGTCTGATCTGCAACTACAGGAAATGTTTGGTTGAAGTTATTGCTGCCAAAGGAGGTTCAACCAGTTATTAAATCCAAGGGTTCACATACTTTTTCCACCTGCACTGTGAATGTTTACATGGCGTGTTCAATAAAAACATGCCAACATTTCATTCTTTGTGTTTTATTAGTTTAAGCAGACTGTGATTGTCTATTGTTGTGACTTAGATGATGATCAGATCACATTTTATGACCAATTTGTGCAGAAATCCATATCATTCCAAAGAGTTCACATACTTTTTCTTGCAACTGTATGTAGTGGCTGGAAGCCAAGTGTCAGTATGTGTGTAGATGCTGCAAGTCTAGGATTAGCATTTCTGAAGTGTGCCGGACCAGGTTTGTTTAAAGGAGAATGTCTAAGCAGGGTCAGTATATGTGGAGGATACCAGTACAAGGTTAGTTTAATTGAAGGTGTGTGTGTGTTGTTTGTTTGTTTGTTTGTTTGGATGAGTTCTATGTTTGTGTGAGTTCTATGTCTGTGTAAGTTCTATGTTTGTGTAAGGTCTATGTTTGTGTGTGTATTGTATGTTTGTTTGTTTGTGTGTGTATTGTATTTTTGTAAGTATGTGTTGTATGTTTGTGTGTGTTGTATATTTGTGTGAGTGTGTGTTGTATATTTGTGTGTGTGCTGTATATTTGTGTATGTATTTGTTTAAAAAAATGGGTTCTGGTGTCATCCAGTGCTGATTATTTGGGATGAGAACGTGTATGAGGTTATGTGACAATCATCTCCCATGAAGTGGATGCACAGTTACATTTCACCTGGCATGTCTGTGTTATGAGGATTATAAAACACTAAACCCGGGCGAGGACGCCCTCTTTAAAGGATTACTCTCAGTCTTGGATTAAAAAATCCATTTCAGACCTAGTGTCTGCACTATCATGAAATATTACAGTCTGTAGTCTAAACCCTAAAACCAATCTAAAATTAAAATGATGGCAATACAGAATATGATGGTGATTAAACAAGCCAACCTTGTGCTAAGAGCAGTTTCAGTGCATAGAAGGAAGGTAAATCAGTAAATGCAAGAATCCTACACTGGATATTTGAGTTATGGCTCATATATTACAACATTGGTTTAATGAGCAGGGGCATATTTACTACACATTGTGTTGTCTTACTTACAATAAACTCAATACCTTTAGATCACATTTCACTGTCTAGGTGTGTAATTTTTCCTGTACTTTAGAATGACACAAGCTTCATGGATGGCCTAGATCAGGGGAAGGCAACCTCTGGCACTCCAGATATTGCGGACTAAATTTCCCATAATGCTCTTAAAACCACAATGCTGGCAAAGCGTCAGGGGAGATGTAGTCCATAGCATCTAGAGTACTGAAGGTTGTCTAACCCCTGACTGTAGATGAACATAAAGGTCAGTGTATCTTCTGGTCACACATCATTCAAAGCCACGTGCTTATAGAGCTATTGTGGCTACAGAGTGCTAAATGGTGGGAGACATTCCTTACGTTTCCATGGCGATTTCTCCTTACTTAACATTTTAACCTGGAATAGCACATGTTTTGCCTTGATAAGTCTCTCCTATAGTCTGTCAATAACTGGTACCTAGTTTTTGATTCTGCCTGTTCATTAATTCTAGCTCTTATTGCAACAATCAATGCAGTGCTGGGCTTCTCAGTGCATGGACATATATTAGAGATAACAAGCAAGGTTACGAACAGGAGTCAACTCATAAGGCTTTGTATCTAACAAGAAGGTCTATTGCCATCATTGTCTTGGAGGCTGTAGGAACGATACCAGGACTGCAAGAGAGGCCACCTCAAGTTAATTTAGGAATACAAACGAACATTGGTTAGTTACATGTCAAAGAACTTGATAAAGTCTTGAGTGTCCTAGATAAAGTATGTCATTGGTATCCACCCACCATCTCATTCAGATACATTAAACAAAACATTGATATTGACACATTTTTGAATAAATGGCTAATTAATAAACATCTGACAACTAACATTTCTAAAACAACTTATCACACATTTCATTATAACAGTTTCTGTTTGTATTGAGATAGTCATTTTCTTATTTATTTATTTATTTTTTTGACAATCTTTATTCAACATTTTTTTTTTACGGAAAGTAGTTAGACAAAGGATCAATGTTTACAAAAATAACAATGCAAGACAAATCATATGTTGATGCTGTAATCATTGTACCTAAGGATTCATTTGCGATTGTATAATGTAGGTAACTGAGTGGTTAGAGTGTCGCTTTTTTTTTTTTTTCCCTCTTTTTGACAATCTCAGTTTTCCATTGAAAGTTTCTCAAAAGTATTACTGACACTATAACACATTTATGAGAAATGACAATAATTACATTTGTTCAATAACACACCTCTAGTGGTTCTCAAACTGTCAGCCAATGGGTGCACTTCTTTACACAAGCATATGCCTGTCCTGATGAAAGTTCTGTGAGAGAACTGAAACGTCGACCTGGAGTTCTTTTGATATAATAAAGTAAGAATAATTTTGAAAACTCAGAGTGCTGGCATTTGGAATTTTGATATCTATCTATCTATCTATCTATCTTTCTATCTATCCATCTATCTATCTATCATGTTAACAAGAACACTCCACTTCCCAAAAATTAAAAAAACTAATTATAAAAATTATGGTTTAGGAGATATGCCACCAATGAAAACATGGATGCATTTAATTATGCATTTTTCATTGTAGGTATATTGAAAAACAGCGTGCAAAAGCGAGAGACAGAATAGCAAAAATAAAATCCAGAAAAATGAATGTCAAAAAAGTTATAAATTGATTTGCCTGTCAATGAGTGAAACAAGTATTTGACCCCTATTTGACCCCTTTGACTTAATTCTTGGTGGCAAAACCCTTGTTGGCAATCACAGAGGTCAGACGTTTCTTGTAGTTTGCCACCAGGTTTGCACACATCTCAGGAGGGATTTTGTCCCACTCCTCTTTGCAGATCCTCTCCAAGTCATTAAGGTTTCAAAGCTGACGTTTGGCAACTCGAACTTTCAGCTGTCTCCACAGATTTTCTATGGGATTAAGGTCTGGAGACTGGCTGGGCCACTCCAGGATCTTAATGTGCTTCTTCTTGAGCCACTCCATTGCTGCCTTGGCTGTGTGTTTTGGGTCATAGTCATGCTGGAATACCCATCCACAACCCATTTCCAATGCCATGGCTGAGGGAAGGAGGTTCTCACCCAAGGTTTGACGGTACATGGCCCTGTCCATCGTTCCTTTGACGCGGTGCAGTTGTTCTGTCCCCTTAGCAGAAAAATACCCCCAAAGCATAATGTTTCCACCTCCATTTTTGACGGTGGGGATGGTGTTCTTGGGGTCATAGGCAGCATTCCTCCTCCTCCAAACATGGCGAGTTGAGTTGATGCCAAAGAGTTCGATTTTGGTCTCATTTGACCACAACACTTTCAGACAGTTCTCCTCTGAATCATTCAGATGTTCATCAGCAAACTTCAGACAGGCCTGTACATGTGCTTTCTTGAGCAGGGGGACCTTGCGGGCGCTGCAGAATTTCAGTCCTTCACGGCATAGTGTGTTACCAATTGTTTTCTTGGTGAATATGGTCCCAGCTGCCTTGAGATCATTAACAAGATCCTCCTGTGTAGTTCTGGGCTGATTCCTCATGTTCTCATGATCATTGAACCCCCACGAGGCAAAATCTTGCACTGAGCACCAGACAGAGGGAGACTGACAGTTATTTAGTGTTTCTTCCATTTGCGAATAATCGCACCAACTGTTGTCTCCTTCTCACCAAGCTGCTTGACGATGGTCTTGTAGCCCATTCCAGCCTTGTGTAGGTCTACAATCTTGTCCCTGACATCCTTGGACAGCTCTTTGGTCTTGGCCATGGCGGACAGTTTGGAATCTGATTACTGGTTTTGTGTACAGGTTTCTTTTATACGGGTAACGAACTAAGATTAGGAGCACTCCTTTTAAAAGAGAGTGCTCCCCCTCTCAGCCCGTTACCTGTATAAAAGACACCTGGGAGTCAGAAATCTTGTTGATTGATAGGGGATCAAATACTTATTTCAGGCATTGAAATGCAAATTAATTTATACCTTTTTTCAAATGCCTTTTTCTTGATTTATTTTTTGTCATTTCTGTCTCTCACTGTTAAAATACACCTACCATTAAAATTATAGACTGATCATTTCTTTGTCAGTGGGCAAACGTTCAAATTTAGCAGGTGATCAAATATTTTTTCCCTCACTGTATGTTCTAGATTAATGAATGGTGTAAATGTCCCATTTTTCTTAATGAATGCAGCTGAATTTTCAAAATTATGCAGATTGCATGAATTTTGGCTGGAGAAATTTGGTCTCGGTTAAAAATTTAGGTTCAGATACATAAATTTCGGTTCAGATAAAATATTGAATTGTAAGCCATAAAATGAATGAAAAAACGCCTACCTTCAATCTGTAAATTAGTGATTCAAAGCTGGTGTTAAATGGCAGTGGCTACTAGTCGTAGACAGCATATCAAATTCCGAATCAACCAAAACGTCTTGACTATTGTGCTATTAGGGCATAATAAAATTCGGAATCTGGAAATACCTGATCAGCCACAATAAATCTGAACTAAAGCTCCAAGTGTATTTTCTTCTTCTTTACCCAATACTGATTTTATATCTCATCTCTTTGACGATATTTTCACCCACCCCTGTATATCTTACTATTTTTTTTATTATTTTATTATTTATATAGCGCCAGCAAATTCTGTGGTATTTTACTTAAAATCAAGGTTCTCAGTTATAAGACCTCCCACATTGCTGTTTCTTTTTGGTCTCTTATTTCTGCCATTGAATATCAATGGTCCTCCTTTCGAAGGTAGCAATTTATTAATCGCAGAGTAAGTTAATACATTGTGTACTGCATAAATATATTCACTCATTAAAAAATATTGTATTTGACCTGATGTTAATACATGGTAATGACCAATATTTGATTTATTTTTCATCACACCTGTCATCACCCCCACCAAAATGTTAAATAACATTGCAATGATGGAGATATCATCATAGTTATCTTCATCACTAGCATGAAAACTGTTTGGAATTCAACGTGAATTTAAATTTATTTTCAAATGTAAGGCAAAGTTGCCTTACTGGAAGCTTGGCTGACTTAAATTTGGAACCCTGTTAGGGTCCAGCTTCAACTATCCAGAAAATCAGCTTATGGTTAAATGCTAGACTTGTGTGATCAATTTTCATCAAATTGCAATTGATGAAGATTTTGGACAATTGTTGGGTCATCTGAATTTCATAATTCTGAAGCACCATATGGGTTTATCACAAAACAAACGATATAGACAATGGACAAGCTTTTTTTTGATTCAGAGGTTCTGCCTTGGCACAAAAAAAAGAGATTTTTGATTGGAAAAAAGATGACTGATGATTTATGGGCAGCCGCTATATGTTGGTTTTATCCACAGATCAAGTGAGCAGTGAGTGGCCAATAATCGCGAAAAAAGGAGGGTTGCGTGGATGAAAGTTGTCTGAGCCAAAATGCCACATGGACAATTTTCAGTCCACCTGGACAATAATGGGGGTGCACAAGTCTATATAAGATGGCACTCAGATGACCTAGCTCTACAAGATGGAGGAGGAAGCACGTGTGATGTAAGCTAATTTGAGTAGGTCCCTCCACCCCCTCTGTTTCTGTACGTCTAACTCGTCTGGATATAAATGCTTGTCTGTTAGCCCACCCACTGTACAGCACTGCAGAATCTGTTGGCACTTCATAAATAATTATAATAATAATAATAATAATAATAATAATACTGTGAAATGGAACGATGCTGAAAGTGATCT